GTTGAGGTAGCGTATCCTGAAGATGGATTGGCTTTTGGTGTGAGAGGTTTAGGTGAGATGCTGTCCTTGGGAGAACATAGAACTTTTGACATGTCCCTCCTCACAGTTGCGGTCTTGAGACATTAGGCTCAGGGAGCCATGCGATTGTCTGGATAAGTGTGTTCCCTAACCATCTGGTACTTCCTAAAAAAGGTGAAAGTGAGGTGCTAGTGGGTTGACATCACAGCGAGCTCCAGCAACCTTGAAATTTGTATGCTGCAAATCCATGTATTGTCAATCTTTTTGAGGGAAATCAGGGCTGTTATTGCTTTTTGATGCAATCAAATTTCTGGAATGTCTCCCTCCTCAGGTCTGAGTGGGAATTGTTTATTCATTGTTGTGTTTCAACTAAAGGTACAAAGTGGGACCAATTTTATATAAGAATGGCAAAAGCCACTGGGTGGATCTGGAATACCCCTTTCAACTTAGGGATACGACAGCTAGCTCTCATATATATATTTTCCCAAGGATACCACTCAAGCAGAAATCTTGTAAGCAATTTGGGCTCCTTCATTTCTCCTTAAAAGGGGATACTGGTGGGTTTTTGAGTGGTATCCTTGGGAAAATGCTTGGCTCACTATTATAGAGTACCTCCTTGATATGGACAAATAGCTAGGTCCAAATCCTACTATCTCAGTTTAAAACATCTCAGTTAAAAGATTTCAGCCAGGCTAGAAGTGATCCCTGTTTGGTGCCTCACTTAAGAGGGTCCTATGTGAGGCTTAGAAGTCCTGTTACCAACCAAAGTACACAGTACTGGACCAAATTAACCTGTGTTCCAGACAGTATTCTGCTAGGTGGATCAATGATTCCCAACCTGGGTAACACAGGTGTTCTTGGACTGCGATTCCCAGAAGCCTTTACCACTAGCTGTGCTGGTTGGGATTTCTGGGAATTGCAATCCATGAACACCTGGTTTACTTGAGAAGTCCTGTTACCAACCAAAGTACACAGTACTGGACCAAATTAACCTGTGTTCCAGACAGTATTCTGCTAGGTGGATCAATGATTCCCAACCTGGGTAACACAGGTGTTCTTGGACTGCAATTCCCAGAAGCCTTTACCACTAGCTGTGCTGGTTGGGATTTCTGGGAATTGCAGTCCATGAACACCTGGTTTACTTAAGGTTGGGAACCACTGATTTAGTAGATGGATGTGTACACAGTATCCAAGGCAGTAATGCAGTAATTGCAATATGCGATCAAATCTTACTGCAACTGCTGTGAATTTTGTATTGTAGAAGCAACAGGAACGGGTTTTATGGGGAAACCTAACCAAAACTATTTTTGACTATACAGTGGTGCCTCGCTTAACGAGCGCACCGTACAACGACGAAATCGCATAGCGATCCCTTTTTTCGGATCGCTAATGCGATCGCTCAACGTTTTTTAGATAGGGCAAAATTCGCTTTGCGAAGATCGGTAAGCGTTTCGCTTACCGATCTTCGCAAAACGAAGCCCGACGATCAGCTGTTCAGCAACCAAAATAGCCGCCGGAAGCCCGGAAATGGCCCAAAATGGCCGCGCGCAGCGTTTTTGCGCCCTCGTTAAGCGAGGGGAGGGCGTGAAAATGGCTGCCGGCCATTAAGAAGCATCGCTGAACGATGAGTATTCGGCCCATTTGGAACGCATTAAACCATGTTTAATGCGTTCCAATGGAATTCCCTGCCCCATTCAATGATGCTTCAGCATAGCGAAGGTGAATCCGGAACGGATTAACCTTGCTATGCGAGGCACCACTGTACTTGAATATCTGGGCACCTGATCTTTTCTCTCAAGCCCCATTCATCTGCTATTTGATTCAAAGTTTAGGATCCCCAAAGGGATGAATGGAAGCATAAAGATTGTTTTTTTTTATGTAGGCCATCAGCTGACTATCCTTACCCTGTCTGCCGCCATGGGATTTCTACTCATTAGCTGTCCATCTTTGTGGTGGACTAATGGCAGGTTTTCAGAGTGCTGAACTAATTTCCTTTTGGTTAGGGTGTGCTGCCAAGGCAGGAGGGGGTGTGGGAGGAAAGGAGATGCGGAAAATGTATTGACCACATCTGGTCATGAGAGTGTCTGTCTGTTTTTTCCTGTGTGGTAGCTAATAGTCGGCCAGTAATATCAAGTACAAGGGAGCAGTTCACCCAGCCTGTCGTCTCCCATGCCTTTTCTCTCTTTTCCAGAAGATCCTCTTGTTCAGCGTGGATTGATTTAAATCAAGTCTATGTAAACTAGCTGATCCTTAGCTAGCAGGGCCACTAGCTGGATGGGCCCCACCAGTGTAAAACACCTTCATACATGGATGCATGTTCAAAAGTTATGTTTCATAAAGGAAAGAACCATACATTTTCCACATTCCAAGGCCAGAAACAGACATTAGAGATAGCCGGTAACTAGAAGAGGGAGATTATTGATGTGAGAATCCTCTCACTTTGGGGATTATGCAGATGATCTTGCTTTGTTCAGTAGTTGGTCTTCAGAATTTAGCCTAGAATTCCTTTGACATCAGAGTTCATAAACACAGGATTGCCTCAATCAGCTTTCTGCCCTCTAAATGTACTTTCAACTCTACTTAATAGCTATCTCTAGCGTCCTTTTCTGGCCTCGCACTTTTCAGTAAAAGTGTGGGAGAATTGAAGCATCCGGACCACTGCGTGGTAGGAAGGCAGGGAGCAAAATCTTTTTTTTTCCTTTCAATCTTTAGAAGTGGCTTGTTTTGAAACACAGCAAATAGAGTGCTTGTGTTAGGTGTCTTGAATTAACTTGTTGCTTACACTAACTCATCCAGAAATTGTAAACATTAGAAAGTGACAAATGGGGAAATGGGCTCATAGTATGCATATGCATATTTTTGATTGAAATTCTGAAACTCAGTAAAACAGAAGTTTTCTTTAGTTTTTTTAAAAAATCAGCCCAAAACCCTGTCTAACATCTAGTATTTGACATTTCAGAGATTGTCCCACTGTCACCTTAAATACTACTATATACCAAGACATTATTGCCTATTAGCCTTCTTTCTTTCTTCAGTCAAATGCTGCCAGCCTGCAAGTCGTAAGGCAGTGTCAGATCATTAAGGTTGTGAGGCTGGACTACAAAGTCACATACCGCAGATATCTACACAATGTTCCAAGCAAATGTGAAATATTAGGATTTTGAAGCTATTATTACATTGCTACTTAAGGCTTTCTTTAAAGGCTAGCGAGGAGTTGCTTTTTCTAAAGCCTCTGCTTTGAAGCCATTATGGGCAAATCCTCTTCAGATGTTTTTGCTCTTTTCAGTGCATGTCTACTCAAATCTAAGTCTTGTACATTTCTCCCATGTGAATGGGTGCATGAAGATTGCATCCTTTTAAGAAAGCTGATTAACGACATGGTGTTTTTATTTTGCTTGGTAACAATTAAAGGAGAGGCGGCTTATGAAACCAAGGCAGAATACCAAAATGTCACTCCTCTGCTCAGAAAAGAGAGTGTCTTTAGCTTCGCCCTGTGTGTCTGGAAATTCTTGGCACTTGTCTGTCAAGAACAAATAAGCTGTTGCAACAGTGCTACTGTATGTGGCCCCAGGGCTTTCCAAGCACTGTGCGAAAGGATGCCTGACTGGATGGGTTGGCAGAATGGAGTGCAGGGCATAACAAGTGGAGATTCCTGCTGTATTGTTGGAAACCCAGATCTGGCCTTTTGCCCTCATTGCTAGTCAGTCTCGCTCTCTTGCCCACTTGCTCTCCGCTTTAAGGTTGCTCCTTGCTCTGAAAGTTTAGGCAATTTTGCCCTCATTGCTAGTCAGTCTCGCTCGCTTGCTCTCCGCTTTAGGGTTGCTCCTTGCTCTGAAAGTTTAGGCACGAGAGTTTGGGGTTGTGTTTTAGCCACACGTCTGTTCTTCCTTGATTCATCCCATCCCCATGGCTTTTGTCCACAGGACGGTGGCAAATGGCAGAGCTGGCAAAGAGGAGATATGCTATCAAAGCATGTCAAGAACAAAGAGGATTGCCCAATGTCATGGGAGCAGACTTCCCATTCTTCCTGTGTACCTCTCCACTTCAGAAAGTTCCCCATCCTTTGGGGCAGATTTTTTTTTTGGGGGGGGAGAGGCAAACAAACAAACAAGGGAATCCATTGTGTTATCCATGTTCTTTTCACTTGTTGTTTGGGCACAGCTGGATGTCACTTTTTATGTGCCGTATCTTTTCTTCCTCTGGATGTTAAGGAAGGGCAGCCTTATTTTTGTTCTGTGCCCAAATTTCAAGACCCTTGTTAAGCTACAGTTTAAATGGTAATAAATATCATCAGCTGTTCCCACAGTCAGCTTCATGTTGTGTAAGTGGCACTGCTAATGACTTGGCCGTTTTGATGTGTGGATGAATGAAGCTGCATTTAAACTCTTGCCTACCTTGCGTAAGATCTGCATAAGTGTTTACCAGTTGGTAACTGGTAGCAGTAACTTTCTGCAATGTTTGTATAGAGTGAAAGTTGTGTGCTTGTTGCACAGGACTGTGTATTTGTGATATATAGAAATCCATGCATAGGAGGGCTAATTGTGGAGGAAACCAGTTTTCAGTGCATCTGAGCTTTGAAGAGGCCAAGTCTGTTTTGTCAATAGGCTTATCCACTAAATATGGCGGAGGGAAGGTGTGCCCCCCAAGTATATAGACTGTATCTCCCATCATTCTTCACCACTGGCCATAGTAGCCAAGATTGATGGGAGTTGCAGTCCAGTAACATCTGGAGGGCCTTGTTTTTCCTGTTCCTAGGACGGACAGCACCCATCCAATGAGAGTATTCTCGATATAAATAGAACTTGGAAAAGTTACTTTTTTTAGCTACAGCCTGGGGACCAGTCCTACTGGCTAGGAGATTTTGGTGGTTTTGGTCTGAAAATTGTTTTTCTCAACCTGCCTGCTTCACCATTTCTTTGGCTGTCAGCTTATTAGAAGACGTTCTTCTCAGTGACTTCCCCCCTTTCTTCTTCTTTTCTAAGATGCAGATAGCATTATTGAAAAAGCTTCTCACTCTGGTATGATCAACCCCGGCCGCCAGTGGCAGGTCTTGAAACAAAACGCAGGCGTGGCTCATTTCGAATACCAGATCCGGGTGACTTGCGACGAGCATTATTATGGCTTTGGCTGCAACAAGCTTTGTCGGCCAAGAGATGACTTCTTTGGACACTACACCTGCGATCAAAACGGCAACAAAACCTGTTTGGAAGGCTGGATGGGACCCGACTGTAACAAAGGTTTGTGATGCCCAGTTTCTGTTTCCATTTCACTCGTGTAAACTGGAGAGATCTAAGACGTCTGTTCCCCATGATGGTTTCAGGCCTCCCAAAAGCAAAACAGGCCAACTGACTAAGCATCTGCTGGCAGGCACTGTTTTGCTGCCTCCCTGGACAAAGTTGGGGAGTCTGTTCTGTATTTATTTATTTGATTAATTTATAATATGATTAGACTGCCTTTGAGGCTCCATAGACCCTGTCAAGGTGGCTCCCAGGGTAAAAATACTACAATAGTATTCCCTTGTAGGAATAGTCCAGTGTGTTTTCACATAAGTTGTAGATTTTAAACAAGAGAGCAGAAAAACAGGGTGTCAGTTACCTAAAGAAGACTAGACATTGCAGTTATGGCTTGTAAGCAGTGTGGGTCGGGGTGGGTATATACAGGTTGCCTTCAAAACTGTGAATGACTGTTGAGACGAGGGAGCGTTGTAGTCCCCTAACAGTTTGTAACACTTTTCAAAGTAGGTTTATGTAGACTCGTAAGGAAATCATTTCATAGAGAGATCTCTGTGTGATTCCCATCTTTGTAGCTTGCTGGGAATTTCTGTCACGATGCACGGAAGTGCCTCAGTTTCATTTCCAGCAGACTGGGTCCAAGGGACCAGTTTCAACCATGGATTTTGTCGGATTACAGAACTAGGCAGAGATTAAAACATTCCCACGAGAGCAAAGGGTCTGTGTTGTGTTTTTAAAGCCCCTTTCTTCTCTTTAAAAAATCCCCCTCCCTTTCTCCCTCCCCCTTCTCTTTGCAGCCATCTGTCGTCAAGGGTGCAGCCCCAAACACGGTACTTGCAAAATTCCTGGGGAGTGCAGGTAAACCAAACAAACCTTCCTCTTGCTAAGCAATCGTAACTGTTACAAATTAAACAGTGGGGCAGGGTGGGGGGGAAATACCCCTCCTCCTTTCTCACTCTCTGTCTTGCTGTACATTCTCAATGTTAAGTGCATGTTTTTCATACCAATGTTGCTGAGATAAAGTGTAAATGAATCAGAAGCCTTCCTTTGGAAAGCTTGCTTTGGAAAAGGCAGGAATATTTTTTAATATATATATATATAAAGTG